TATTATTATTATTATTATTATTATTATTATTATTATTATTATTATTATTATTATTATTATTATTATTATTATTATTATTATTATTATTATTATTATTATTATTATTATTATTATTATTATTATTATTATTATTATTATTATTATTATTATTATTATTATTATTATTATTATTATTATTATTATTATTATTATTATTATTATTATTATTATTATTATTATTATTATTATTATTATTATTATTATTATTATTATTATTATTATTATTATTATTATTATTATTATTATTATTATTATTATTATTATTATTATTATTATTATTATTATTATTATTATTATTATTATTATTATTATTATTATTATTATTATTATTATTATTATTATTATTATTATTATTATTATTATTATTATTATTATTATTATTATTATTATTATTATTATTATTATTATTATTATTATTATTATTATTATTATTATTATTATTATTATTATTATTATTATTATTATTATTATTATTATTATTATTATTATTATTATTATTATTATTATTATTATTATTATTATTATTATTATTATTATTATTATTATTATTATTATTATTATTATTATTATTATTATTATTATTATTATTATTATTATTATTATTATTATTATTATTATTATTATTATTATTATTATTATTATTATTATTATTATTATTATTATTATTATTATTATTATTATTATTATTATTATTATTATTATTATTATTATTATTATTATTATTATTATTATTATTATTATTATTATTATTATTATTATTATTATTATTATTATTATTATTATTATTATTATTATTATTATTATTATTATTATTATTATTATTATTATTATTATTATTATTATTATTATTATTATTATTATTATTATTATTATTATTATTATTATTATTATTATTATTATTATTATTATTATTATTATTATTATTATTATTATTATTATTATTATTATTATTATTATTATTATTATTATTATTATTATTATTATTATTATTATTATTATTATTATTATTATTATTATTATTATTATTATTATTATTATTATTATTATTATTATTATTATTATTATTATTATTATTATTATTATTATTATTATTATTATTATTATTATTATTATTATTATTATTATTATTATTATTATTATTATTATTATTATTATTATTATTATTATTATTATTATTATTATTATTATTATTATTATTATTATTATTATTATTATTATTATTATTATTATTATTATTATTATTATTATTATTATTATTATTATTATTATTATTATTATTATTATTATTATTATTATTATTATTATTATTATTATTATTATTATTATTATTATTATTATTATTATTATTATTATTATTATTATTATTATTATTATTATTATTATTATTATTATTATTATTATTATTATTATTATTATTATTATTATTATTATTATTATTATTATTATTATTATTATTATTATTATTATTATTATTATTATTATTATTATTATTATTATTATTATTATTATTATTATTATTATTATTATTATTATTATATAAACTGTAAAACTATATTAATATCGTTATATAGATCGTCTAGTAGGGATAACTTTTATATTTTTAAAGACTGCTTATTAAAACTATTAAAACTCTTAGAGTTTTTATTTAGTAAGGATGAATTTATAATATTGACCGGCGATTTTAATTTGGACTTTTCTAATAATGATGAAAAAACAAAAGAAATATGTAATATATTATTGTCATATGGGCTAAATTATACAATTAATGAACCAACTAGAATAGTATTAAATAGTAGTTCATGTTTAGACAACATAGTAACCAACTTAAATTCAGATCTCTTTAGAGTTGGAATCGCTGATCCGCATATTTCAGACCACAATGGTCAATTCCTAAATTTTAAATTACCCAATTTGAAAGATAATTCAAACGTATATGTTAGAAAACGCATTATAACAAAAAAAGGTATCGATATATTTGTTAAAAACATATCGGAAATTCCCTGGGATACCTTAAACATCAACAATATGAGTGCTTCAGAGTTATCTACATTAATTTCAAATGTTTTACATAGTAATGCTAACTTGAGTTTTCCGGAAAAAACCATAAAAAATAACAAGAAACAACACATACAGTGGTTCAACTCAACACTCAAAAACATGAGAAAAAAAATGAATAATGCTAAAAAATTGTATTCGGTATCACGTCTAGAAAATGATTGGTATAATTATGTAGCCTTAAGAAAGAGTTACAGATTTTCTATCAGGGAAGAAAAAAAGAAAGCGTATGCCCACACTATTAAAAATTCCGAGAATGTAAATAAGTCTTCGTGGAAAATTATAAATTCGGAGAGGAAACGCTTAAAAAATCCAATTAGCGCATCAATTTCTCCTGATACATTTAATGCATTTTTTGTTTCCATATCTGAAACTGTTTTGCAGTCAATTGGTCAGGCAAATCATGATTCCTCTTTCTTTTTAAACAAAATAACTAAACCTACTTTTTCATTTTTTCTTACTGCTATATTAGAAACAGATGTCCATCAAGCTATACTTCAATTAAGCAATTCTTCCTGTCTTGATTTCTTTAATACCAACAGTAGAATGATTAAAGAATCCGCAAATTTTTTGATTATACCTCTCACAACAACAACATTGTTCAACAAATGTGTGGGTGATGGAATTTGGCCAGATCCCTTTAAAATAACAAAAATTATACCCTTACATAAAAAAGGAAGCGTCGATTTACCAAATAATTATCGACCTATAGCAATCCTACCCATTCTCAACAAAATTTTTGAAATGATCATTAAAGAAAAATTAATTTCTTACTTTGAGGCAAAATCACTACTGTCAGAGTTTCAATTCGGATTCCGAAAAAATAAATCGACTGTCCGTGCTCTTACCTGCCTTCTAGAGGAGATTGTACAGAACCTTAATGATGGATTAAACACGGTAGCCACTATGTTTGATCTAACAAAGGCATTCGATTGTGTTCCAAGTAGTTTACTTTTAAATAAATTAGAGTTCTATGGTATACGAGGTAAGGAATTAGATTTATTCGATTCATACTTAAGGAACAGAAGACAGTTTGTAACTTATGACAATCAAGAATCTACTATCTTACCCATTTCAAATGGCGTGCCGCAGGGCTCCATATTAGGGCCGATTTTATTTTTAATTTTTGTGAACGACCTTCCAAGTGCAATTGAGAATTTTTGCGTATTATTCGCCGATGATACCACGGTTCTCTCTAAGGCAAATCAGGTACAAGGGATAGATAAAGTAGGAGATTGGTTTACGGCACACAAATTAAAATTAAATGAAGCAAAAACAAATAATTTATTGTTAACATCAGACAAATGGGCTCCTAAATCAGAACCAGTAAAACTACTGGGAATTTACCTAGATTCCTCTTTAAATTGGACACCCCATATAAATTATATTTGCTCTAAATTAGCATCTCAAATATTTGTACTTCGTCAACTCAAGTCATGCCTACCAAATCATCTCCTAAAAAGTGTATACTTTTCGCTAATCCATAGTATTATTAATTATGGAGTTTTACTCTGGGGAAATTCTACAAATGCCCATAAAGTTTTCGTGCTCCAAAAAACTGCAATAAGACTAATAGATGGTGCCACCTTTAATACATCGTGTCAAGAAATCTTTAAAAAACTTGGAATATTGCCACTTCCATCGATGTACATAATGGAAACTCTTATTGAAACACATAAAAGTTTAAATTGTTTAATAAAACATTCCGATGTGCATAACTATAAGACGAGATCCTGTCAGGACATAATCATTAAGAAAGCTAGGATACAAATAACAAAAAACAACTCTTTAGATGTATCTCTTTATAATTCATTTAAACAATATTTTAATTATAAACAAATTAATACGATGTCGGTAAAATCTTTTAAATATTTTGCAAAAGAATTTCTACTAAAGTATTGTTTTTATAATATTGATGAATATTTTTTAACGTTACACCAATAGACAGTATTGTAAGTGTTCTTTTAAATTTTTAGTAACTGTTGTTTTTTTAATAATTCTTCTAAGTGAATTTTATAAAACTGTATGTTCTGAATATTTTATATTTATTGTTGTGTCATTTAGTTTTGTTTTGTGTCTTTTTAAATCCTTAGTATTTTTCAACTCTGCTGTTTTTTAAAAATTGTTCTAAGTGTATTTTATAAAACTGTAAGTTCTGAATATTTTATATTTATTGTTGAGTGTTTTTTAATTCTGTATATTTAATATTTATTGTTCCATATCAAGCATCACTTGTAATGACTTCAAACGTACCATTGTTATGTAAATGTTGTCAATAAACCATCTATCTATCTATCTATTATTATTATTATTATTATTATTATTATTATTATTATTTATTATTATTATTATTATTATTATTATTATTATTATTATTATTATTATTATTATTATTATTATTATTATTATTATTATTATTATTATTATTATTATTATTATTATTATTATTATTATTATTATTATTATTATTATTATTATTATTATTATTATTATTATTATTATTATTATTATTATTATTATTATTATTATTATTATTATTATTATTATTATTATTATTATTATTATTATTATTATTATTATTATTATTATTATTATTATTATTATTATTATTATTATTATTATTATTATTATTATTATTATTATTATTATTATTATTATTATTATTATTATTATTATTATTATTATTATTATTATTATTATTATTATTATTATTATTATTATTATTATTATTATTATTATTATTATTATTATTATTATTATTATTATTATTATTATTATTATTATTATTATTATTATTATTATTATTATTCGCGTTCGCTCGGTCAGTGATCGTCAGCCAAACTCATTTGCCTCAAAACACGTATGGAACCGAGAACGACGGCTTTTTAATGTTATTTCTATTCTAGTCAGCAATATGAAAATTTTCATCAGCATAATGAAATAAATAAATGGACCAACGACAATGGTTATTCTGAAGGTGCAAATAAAAACGTTTATCCAAGGAGAGCGTTACAACTAGGCGTTGAGAATGGGTTAATGATAATAATACCGCAAATTATGGGAGACACAGACTACCTTTGCTCAGCTGATTTCGGATATACGGTAGGTATTCAGAAAATTTATGAAGGTAGAATAGTTATCAGCTCAAATCTGTGTTCCTTGGGAGCCAGTTTTCCAAAACTTAATTTTTTTCTTCACAGAAAATTGAAAACTTGCGATTTTTTTCATAAAAACTGAACCATATTTTGGATGATAAGTTGGTCTAGAGTAACACAGATTTAATACTTATCTAGATTTTTATGTAAGGCAAATTTTTATTAAATATACCTAATTACCAAAAAATATTTAAATTGTATTTAATTCATTAGCCCATTTAATTTTTGCAAGATTACTAATTATATTATAAGTAATTAAGGAATTTTAAATTAAAATTTTGGTAGATAGGTATCTTTTCAACAATATCATTTAAGTAGATCATTTTATTATAATTAGGTGATGATCCTCTGTGTGGGTGATTATTTCGGAATAGTAATAAAAAAATTATCTTCGGAATATGTTTAATTATGTAAAATTTTGCATGGTGATAATTTTTAATTAATAGATACTCTTCAGTAAATATAACCTTCAAACAATATTTTTTTGTTTAATGTCCATTTCCACAATAATTCAAATTTTGGACAATAATTATACTTTCCTATAAAGCTAGTATAACACTTTTTACTCCTTTTTCCACAAAAAAAAAAACGGTTTTTGCACCCTTAACTTCACAGAGAAGAAATTAGTTGTTTTTTTGGACAATATTCTTTTTTCCTGAATTTCAAAGTACACTTTATTATACAAAGTGACCTTAAAATTTCATGGTCTCTTGGAATCCGGTATTCTTACCAATTTCTAACAAATTTGTCAGGTAGGTATAAATTTTGTCTTCTCGGTTTTGGCAGCCGTATATGAGCTTAACGGTACTAAGCTGTTCAAGCATTACTCTTTTAATAATAAACTAATTAAAGTATTTAGCTTCTTGCATAAAACTGTATGATACTCTGGTCAAATAGGTATTCAACTTCTGAGCCTAACCTCTGAAAAATAATATGCTGTAAAATTGAATAAATCTTTGTTTACATATTTTATAAGTTGGCTCAAAACTCTCACAATCTATGCTCTATGCTCTATAATGACATTTAGATTTATTTGAAAGGATGCAAATCAGAAACTTGTCTATACCTTTTGTTTCAAACAATATTTTATACATTCAGTCATTCTTAAATTAGAGTGCGTAGGGAACGCTTAATGGTACATAACATAACGCATGGGCAACTGTGGAATTCAACAAAAATTGTATAATTTATATTGTTAATTATTTACTAAAAATATCATTATTAAAAATAAATTTTAATCATTTACCAGTGGGTTAGCCCGCCGTCGATACAAGGGTATGTAATGAGTAACTGCGATTCTCATTGTATAAAAACAAGTTTTTTTATTAATATCATTAATTTTGGACTTACAACAGACGTTCAAGATGTAATGACATCGCATCTCGCATCATGGCCTGTCGAAAGAACCTCTCTTAAGCTGGCAAGACCAAAAGAACTGAATCGATTAAGATCTATTACACTATTTAGTACCTATTTTCAGAGCTGTTTAAAATCATTTTTAAAAAGATTTAAATCAAAGATCATAAATCGTTTGCATTTGAACAAATGATTTAATTCAAAGATCGATTTATTAAAAAAAAAAATACGGGTGGCACTCAGGGACTGCCGCGGTAAAGCTATTGCAAAGCATTTTTTATTAACTTATGCAATTATAATTATTTTTTTATTTTATTTGTGCAGTATTTCTTTTTCTTTGATATTAATTCAAGTTTTTTCTTTGATATTAATTCAAGTTACTCTTTTTAAGCGTGGTGACCGATAAGAAAACAATTTTTTTCTTTTATTGAATAAATGAGAAGTTAATATTGCAATAGCTTAATAATGAAATAGTTAACAATGATAAAATAAAAATTAATATTTTTTCCGCACCCATATTATTATGATGCACTTATATGCCCATAATCCGTTTCATAATGATACCCATTATGATACAGATTTTTCATTACGATACATATTTTTAATCAATAGAAACCTACAATTTTTCAATCAAGCATGCAGTTTGACTTTTGTCCTAGGTTCCTATGTAATTGTTTTAGTTGTCAAAACGTATTAAATTTTCGTAGATAGTTAAACTTCGATAATTATAATATTAAAATGTCTGATATCAGCGATATAGAAGACTTCTCCACAAATATCAGAGAAAGCAGAAAATACAGTACAAAATATTTTGTCGCAAAAATCTAGGGAAACACCAATACCCGAAGTAATACCATTAATTACAATTTTGCAGAATTTTTTATAGAAATACGAGTAATTACTGTTATTGTGTTCAATACCAATATAAATATAATATTTATAGGTCTTGATTATTTATCGGGTGTAGAAAAAATAGCGTATGCAACTCCCATGTAATGGTTATTAAAACACTCGCATAAACCATACGAAACTCGCCTTTGGCTCGTTTCGTATCCCGATTAATGCTCATGTATTAATAACCATCATTACATGATCGTTGCATAACATACTATTATAAATCTTGCAAAAAAAAAATTATAATATCTAATATTTACGCCAGCCGGGAACATTTGTGACACCAATTTATTAGAAGCCTGAGAAAGCTCTTCTAGTTCTTGTATTGCATAAACGTTCCAGTTCGCAGACGTATATTTAACTCCGCTTCATACTAATACGAATAGGGTCGGATAAAACATTCCACGGCTTTCAAAACGCCGCACCGCTGTGCCGGTCGGAGTGGGGGGTGTTAGGTTTATTTTCGTTACGGAATTAAGAAATTTCTTAATTCGGTCGCCATGCTCAAAGCCCGCGATAAAAGTTATGCAATAGCTTAAAAAGATTTAAATCAAAAATCTTTTTTAGATTTAAATCCTTTTTACAATTTAAATCATTTTAGGAAAGATTTAAATCATTTCGAAAGATTTAAATTATTTCGAAAAATCTAAATCTTTTTAAACGATTTAAATCTTTTTAAAAGATTTAAATCTTATTAAAAGATTTAAATCGTTTAATAAGATTTAAATCTTTTAAAACGATTTAAATCTTTTTATAAATTTAAATCACTTAAAAGCATTTAAATTATAAAAAAATATTATATCGTTTTTTATATATATTTAGGAGTCAATAAAATATATTAAAACGGTTTTACATTTACACTATACACAAATTTTTGGTTACAAAATAGTTTAAGACTAATAATATAAAATTTTGCAGAGAATTATAGTTTACAGAGTTCTCGAAACATTGTTGTCAGTTTGCAGAAATACATAAAACGAAACCTTCCGATTTTGCCATAATAGATATAGCCAACCAATAAGACCACTATATGGTAATTTGTATATTCGGTATAATTAAAGAAAGAAAAAATAGGCCTTTAATCAGTTTTATTAAAGCATACAGAACAAAACACGTGTAACTAAAGAACTCATCAATAATCCAAGAACCAAAACTTTCGATCATGAAGCATCCCTTAAATATTATTTGATTTTAACAGTACAAGATTTTTGAAGTTTTTGTCGGTCAATGCATGACGACGTGGAGAATCTATAAAAGTGGCATATGAAAACATTCTTTCCACGGGGGCGAAAGATGGTAAAATACAATTATATTTTAGAAACATTTTTTTTTAAGAGGGTATATTTGTTTAATATGGACGAATCATTGGAAGGATCCTGCAAGTACTGTAGTAGAAATTGTAATTCAAATTCGTGAGAAACTGACGGTGCTTCTTTTTCTGTATATATTTCTGATACAGTGCTTAATTCAAAAAAATCTTCATTTTCCTCTTCATCTATCACTTCACGTGTGGCATAGTTTTCAAAACTTACAAATTTTTTTGCTGCATTTAACACCATATTTTTTACTTGATTCTCTTGAAGAATAAAATTCGTATTTTTAAACGAATTTAGCAATCTTAGCCTAAACTTTGGTAAAAGTGTTGTGGCTATTATAGACATCTCTGATTGAGGATTATTCTCGAAATATATTGAAAACCGAGTTTCAATAGATTTAATGCATGTCAATTAAAAATCCAAGATGTCTTGGGTTGAGGGATTTCATTTTTTCATATTTAACATCTAAACTCCCTATCGTTGGCATAAGTGTCCCAAAGTATGTGTGACTTTCTCCTTGGAGAATATCTATGGATAAGGCTAAGGGTTTCAGGATGGCAATATATTCTTCCAAATATTCTCTCATTTTCTTTGAGAGCATATTGTTTTAAATTTAAAGATTCATAAAGTATATTGAGTTTTTCTTTTTGTTATAAAATTTGGGTCAAAGAGTCGTAGAAACTGTTCCACCTAGTGGCACCAGGGTAGCTAAGATGATGCCCTAATATTTTTTTTTATTTCTTCCGCTGATCTTGGACGTTCAGATTTATTCCAGAGTTGTGTACACTTGTTAGTTATGTTTGAATGCTTAGATCTTATATTATGATTCTTATTGATGAAATTCATAATGTCTGTCGTAGCAATCAGATTTAACGTATGAGTAGCGCATCTAAAATGATTTAGCAAGTAAATATGTTGTTCAAGTTCATTTCCCGTTACTTCACCAGGCTGAAAAATATCATCTTGCAATTCAATACTATCATTAGTATCACGATCCTCGTCATCATCAATTTGAATACTTGATGGTATTGAATTTAATATAACTCTTGTTTCTAATTGTATCCCATATTCTTTGAAGGCTTTTACAAAGTTTGACCCATTGTCCTTAATTGTAGCTCATATTTTAGTTAAGTTAAGCCCAAATTCAGTATATATTTCCTCAAGCATCTCACCAATTTTATCAAACGAGTGTGTACCAGGGAAACGCCTACAGGCTAAAGCAACCAATTTTCTTTGAAGGGAATCGGCGTCAATCCAATGACATGTAACGCCCATAAAACTTCGCTTTTTAGAAGACCAAATATCTGCTGTACTGCATACAAACTGGGTATTTGATAGAAGAGTTTTTATTTCTTCTACCATGTTATTTTATAAAATTGCA